CATATATAATATTATTATAGTACTATAATAGTAATAGTAACCAGCTATTACCCAATTACATGTATATATTCATTACTAATGCTTGTATTGATAGTAGGTCTATATTTAAATAAATAAAAAATTTAGTACACGCAAATCGATCAAAATATAATAACTTTTATTTGACCTGATGAGATCACATAATCAACTAATCAAATTATCAAGAATAATCAATACCGTAACATATAAATAGTTATAATATAGAAGTTCACTAAGTCAGAAAAAATATAATAAATTTAGTTTAAAGAAGTTGGACAGTTAACAATCAAAATATTTGAAAACATAGATAGGATAATAGTCACCTACCTTGATCTAAGAAATTTTCATAAAAAAGGAAAAAATTGTTTGGAGAACAAAAATCCAAAATTGTTTTTCTTTCTCATCCTTCCCTCCCCATTTTCTTTCTTCCTTCAATGGCATGTCGGTGCTATGAGGAGTGAAAGAGGAGTTTGAGTGATACATATATATATATTGATGGGTAGCACCGCAGTGCGACCACAATGCTTCATACTAAATCTAGAATTATTGTAGAATAGAAGCTTCAATGTCACGATGATGATTTGTTATGCCGCTATGCTCAAAACTAAGCACCACAGTACTCAAAGGAATAGTACCACTGCTCTACCATTCAAATAAAAAAAATCAAATTTATATTTTAAATTTATTTTCAAGAATCGGGTTGTTATAATCTACACACCTTAGAAAAATGGCGCCCCCAACATTTCCCTTAAGGATTCAGGCACAAAATCCATATAAAATAAATCTAATAGGAAATAAATCAATATAACTATCTAAATTAAGTCAAAATAAAATTAAAGGCTCATAAAACACTTCATATCCATCAAGTATCTATCATATAATCATACAATTCATTCAATCTCACATCATTCACTTATGTAATGAAATGATATATCAATCAATCATTCAAAATAAATATCTTGCTAGTAGAACTCTTTAGTTTATATCTATCTTCCAATTATTGTAAGTTATACTCACGTGGCATCACTAAAGGAGGTATTATTGGGGCTATCTATTTTGTTGTAACAAACTCGCCTTGACTACTATTGACAACTCTTTCATTAACTCTGTTTGTTGATCTTTCACTATAAGATCTCAATATTGCAGTCCTTTATTCTTTAGTTTTCCTTGACTATCCTACTTTAAAATCATCTCTCCATCCAAATCCTCTTTAAGGATAATCCACTACCTTGTATCATTGTTATCCATATTAAAATAATGTCTTGTCAAAAGGTAGCACTATTATATTATATTCTTTCACAATGAATACATTTGTTATAATTATTGGTAAATATTGTCGATCCAGATCCCCTCAAATCACTATATATGCTTTTCTTATCACTGACACTTTCTCTAGATTCTCTATCCCTACTTGATTCATCTTTGGTCCTCAAGCTTATATTATATTTGGAGCTCACATCATACATGGATGCTGGTACAACCAAATTAATCTCTAACAGTTTGGATTGCTCCACTTGCTTAAAAAACACTTAAATTCATAGAGACACTAACAGATGTCTCAACTCCCTATTCAATCCTTATAGGAATATATAACACTTTTATTTAGTAGTAAGGATTACATGAGGAGACTACCTAGCCAATATAATAAACTTTGCTTCATACTACATCATTGTCTTGAGTCATTGCTCTAATTTGATAAAAGCTTCATACATCTATCATTAGGTTGATGGAGGTACAAACTACATCCTGAAAACTATAATGAATTCATCCCAAGTGATCTTAACTTTAGTTTACCCCTAAAAATTCTCTGTGGTGTCCAATCCATCATCTCTTAGCCTCTCATTCAAACAAGAAAAAGCTAATGACACCTTTCAATTCTTTAGGCACTACATGTAGTAAAAAATCATCTATATTCTCAGTAGCTAGTATTCAGGAGCTTCAAATAATGAAATATCTATAAATATTTATCCTGTTCTTCTTCTTTACTCCTAGATAACTTGCTCTATATATCACCCATTACATGTGCTAGAACATTGGCCGATTGTATAACACTATTTGATGGCACAGGAGCTGCACTGTGTTTCTCATTCAATATATTTTGCTCCAATAGATTCTTTTCAACTATTCACTTGTACAATACCGACAGATCTAAATAATTCACACGTGCAATCCATTTTGTATGCAAAATAATGTACCTTAATCTACCCAATTTATCCAACTCATAATAAATTCATATAGCTCTGGTTTAAAATTCAATTCTTATAATAACTACTCTGTTATTAATTGTCATGCCCTAGAATTAAATTTAGAAAGATTATTATTTTTTATCTTTTAATAATTACAACAATGACCACCACAGCTATCTAAATTTCATTTATTAATAATAAACTAATAGTAAATATCATTATATTTATCCAAATTTAAATATAACATATAGTTTTACTCCCAAGTTCATGTACATAGATAGGAGTTATGCAATCATATCATATAATCTATTTGCTCATGACTGCCAAAGAATAGCTAAATAAAAACAAAATAACCAGTAGAATCATGTCTCTGCTCAATCTCAGACTCTTGTTCATCTACCTTGACCTAAAATCATTTAAGCCACATATAATAAACTAAAAAGCTCAATAGGTTTCCAAACCTATAACTAAACTGAAAGCATATTAAAGAAGTAGTATGCATGTCATCAATCAGTTCATAATAGTAGTAGTCACTATGATCATAAATCTATGTAGAAATAACATGCAATAACAATAAAATCTATAACATAGTAGAACATTATGGTATGAAAGCCAGTAAAATGGTGCACTGCAAAAATATTAGAATCAATAAATTGGTACTAGTATATCATTAGATCAATAAATTGGTATAGAGGTTAATTCAATAAGTAGCAATCAATCCTTCCCAAATTAGACATCATAGAAACAAGAAAATCATATAAATTAATAAACCAAAAGTATCTATTAATATTGTCAAAATATATAGCAATGTAGTACAATAAAATTAGTATACACATGAGGTTCAGTAATTCTATATCAATATCCAATCAATATAATATGTCACATGCTTTGTACAACTTACTCAATATGATATGCTCAGTACAAAAATCACATGATCAATAATAGTAAATAAGTAAATAATGGTATCAGTAACATTATCAATATCCATAAAATTGGTGGTAGAGTAATATAGTATAATAACAGTGAAATGGTAAAATAGTATAGTAATAGTAGTGTAGTAACAGGCATTATAATAATCACACTAAATAAATAAGGAGTTTTAGTTTGTGTGGTATTTTTTTAGTAGTCAATAATAAAAAAAATTATTAACTATTGACTTAGTAAATAAAGTCATAATTCCTTGCCCATCAGCATAGTAATAACTTCTTATAACTCTCAATAAGTATATCACTTGAATCAATCAAGGATAACACCAAATCATATTATTTAAAGGAAAGTCCGTCGGCCTACCTTCTTGTACATGCTAGTTAGTTTTCAACGAATGTTAGTAAAATCATCCTTTACTTGTCCTCACGCATAATATTATTATAATTTTATAATAGTAATAATGACTAGCTATTACCCAAACACATGCTTGTATTCATTTGCAATGCTTGTATTAACAGTACGCCTATAGTAAACTACCAAAATTTTCATTATGCATAAAACATTCAAAATATAATAACTTTCATTTACCTAGTGAAATCACACTATGAACTAGTAAAAATATCCAGAATAATTGGTATTATAATTTATAAAAAGTTACACTGTATAAGTTTACTAAATCTTGGAAATATATAATAAATTAAATTTAAAAGAAGTTAGACGGTCAAAATAAAAATCCATGAAAATAGAGAAGATAAAAGTCACCTACCTCGATCTAAAAATTTTCCATAGTGTGTGTGTGTGTGTGTGTGTGTGTGTGTGTGTGTGTGTGTGTGTGTGTGTGTGTGTGTGTGTGTGTGTGTGTGTGTGTGTGTGTGTGTGTGTGTGTGTGTAGTGCTGCAGTGCCACAACACAGGGACAGAACACTACATGCTGAATCTAGAATTACTGTAGAATAAATGCTTTAATGCCGCAATGGTAATTTCTGGCACAACTGCGCTCAAGACCAAGTGCTACACCACTCAAAGGAACATCACCGTTGTGCTACATTTCAAACAAAAAATTAGATTTGCATTTTAAATATAGTTTTTAAAATATGATTGTTACATCTTCTTCAGTGTTCTTTCTCTTATGGCGATCTTTTTTTTGGTAGCTTGAAAGTCAATCGCCACCCTTCTAGGCCTCTTTATTAATATTGTATAGTAATCAATTCATAAAGGAACTATAGGTTGTCTAAGTGGATCTTACAAAACAGGTAAGAATCAATAACATTTCTCATCTATAGTAGCAATTAGTTGCGATGCATATCTTGATGACATTATAAATTATGTTTCATATTGCACCTTCAATTTGTGTCATTGCATTAATCTTATGAATTTGTCATGTATCTACCTCCTTATAAAAATAGGTATGAACCATTCCCTAAAAAGTTCCACAAACTCTTCCCATTATCTAGCATATTAGGGATATCACCCAACTTATCATGTTGTTGTTCTCTTCACCATCTTTTTGCTTTGTCCTCCAATACAAATCCAATTAACAATACGTTTTCTCTCATTACATGATATTTTATTTAATATGTTCTCTCTATATGAAGCAACTAGTTCTTTGCCTCAATAGGTGCCTCATTACCCTTGAATAATGGTGGCCGAATGTTCTGAAATAACTTCATATAGCCATCCACTCTAACTCTATGAGGTGATCTTGATTCTTGAAGCCGTTGTGTCATATTTGCCATCATCTATTGAAGGTATTGGTGTTTACTATCATCCCAAGTGGCACTTCTTCTTCCACTATATTTCTAATCATCCATATATCTTAGTTATATACAATAGTTAACATACTATCATCCTGATCTCTGAACATCTCAGAAAAAAAATTTCATTAATCATTATTATGACTCATCCACTATGATTCATCTCTCCTAGGATAATCGCTGGATTTGATTATCTACATACGAGATACCATTAGTTCATTGGTATTGTGTCTACTAGACTGCCACGCCTCCATGGTCTATACCTCAGCCATCTCTCGTTAAGATGGGATTATCGATGGCGATCTACTCACTGCCTTCCTTATGGCCTCAGTAGCTTCTCCCTTAAGCGTCATCCGTCCTTTCTCCGCTTTACGGTTAGCAGCCGGCGCCGGCGCCAGTTTTGGCTTTGGGGTACCGCCTCGGCGGCTGTTTCTTGGTGTGGGGGCGTCCTTTCTCGATCAGCTCCGACGAATGGCTTCCAGCCACGGCAGTCGCTCACTAACTACCTTGGCCTGGCTGAAACGGGGAGTTTCTCCAATCGAGCAGGTCCGGCTCGGGGAAGAGGACGCCTTTAGCCTTTAGGGTTTTGAATTTGGTCGCTTGGATTTCGGGAGAGTTTACCTTACTGCCTGTCTGTTTGTAGGTTCTGAAGGATGTTGAATGGCCGGATAATTTTCCTTTCAAGGATGAGGATTTCAGCCGCTTTGATGAGTACTGAAGCTTCAAAACCCTCTGGTTTGGATTCCGCATAGTATTGCTGTTTGATGTTTACTAGGAAAAGATTTTAACGTCTCTTATTTTGCAGAAAACAGGTCTTTACATTTTGTAGCTATCGCTCGGGAATAGCCTGGCTTGTTTTTAGATTTATTGTATTTTTTATAGCGACCATCGTCAATTCATGATATAGATTACCTGCACTTTTGAGTGAATTTGCTGGAAAATTTTCTCGCTCATGTAAGTGGCCGAAACGTCAAGTTATTGATTAAATGCATTTTTGGACTTGAAACAATGACAATTTGCGGATAAGAAAAAAATAAAAAAAATAAAATAAAATAAACAATGTTAATTTGAGGATGAGCATTTTAGATGGCATAGTTGGACTTGGGGCGTTTTGCTTAGCTGAAAGCTTGTTTCATTGTTATCGTAGTAATAGACGTTACTTGTTTGTGTGCGCCAATTCTAAAGTTTATATATATTATTCATAATAGTTTCCATTTGTATATAGCCAATTAGTTATTTGAAATAGAAGAAAAGGAAATAATCGATATTCATCATTTTAGATAATTAAACTTTGAAGAGGCAAAATTGATCCAAGAAAAGTAAAAAGTTAAGAATGCAATGACATTCATACAACTCTACAATCAAGATAAATATTTGAAAGTGCCATTTACTAAGGGAATGTTTGGGGTTACTTTTATTTTATTTTTAAAAAGAATGTTTGGTTTACATTTTGTAGCTTTTTTATTTTTGAAAATACTCAAAACAACTTTTATGTGTTTTTATTTTTAATGACAATTGCCTCGTAAATCACACGCTGTGTCATGACTCGGCCCGGAGTATTGAATTAACGAGGCGGGAACAAATGGTTGGATGGTTAATTCATTTCTTTCAATACCATAAAACACTTAACAAACGAGCATCCTACATGTAACTGAAGAGCCACTAAAACACATTTTCATATTATATATATATATATATATATATATATATATATATAGGTAGATAGATAGAGAGAGAGAATTGAGGTTATTTTAATAGAAATTGAACTTAAAATAAAATTAAAAAATGAAGAAATTTGTTGGAAACAAATTTGATAAACAATAAAAAAATATATGAGCATTGTTTGAACAATGTTCAAATTTTATTTGAATCTTATTCAAATTCTATTCAAAAGTAGTTCACCAAATTTTATCATGACTGAACACATAGTTCCTATAAGGTTCAAACCTTATTCAATCCACTTTTCATCATTTACCCAACCTTGTTCAATCTTCATATGAATAAGCTCTCAAGCATATTGAAGCCTATTCGAAGTTTGTTTAAATCTCGTTCAAATTAGATAGTAATCTTGTTCGTGTTGTTACTTAAGGCATTCTAGTTCTATAGCCAAATCAAGCATCAATAATCTTTTACTTTATAAAGAAGAAGGAAAAGAAGACAACCAAAAAAAA